TGCGATCGGATCCTTGCGGTTGAGGTCCAGGGGTGCACACTGCGATCCGGAGCTTGCCAGACAAGATCGGCGAAGCAGATTGGCGGAGCAGATTGGCGAAGAAGATTGGCGATGAAGATTGGCGATGAAGATTGGCGAGGAGGTTGGCGGGAAAGGAAGGAAGGAAGGAAGGAAGGAAGGAAGGAAGGAAGGAAGGAAGGAGGAAGAACAACTGTGATAAAATCTAACAACCCTCACCTGGCAGGTGGGGAAATATTCAACGGAGATCAAACAAAAGGAATCAAAAAATATTCTAGCCCACTGAGGATGGTTGGGGTTGAGCATCGGCTCAAAAGCCTTCAACAGAAACACATCGGACCAGGCAGACACAAAAGAACGAAAGAATAGAAATGCTGGACATTGCTGAGGGGCGCGCTATATCAACCACCTCTGTGGCTTTGTCACAGCTTTTATAGTATAGAAACTATAACTACTTGCAGCCTTGTTATAGCATTCACTGCGCAGCGGCGTTGGAAGCTGAGGTCGGCCCTATCATCCACCTGTGTGGCATTGCCACAATGTTTAGAGCATAGAAGAATGGAGGGGACAGCAGCAGCCACCTCAAATGACCAAAGACAAGGACTAACACGCCAACACTCCAAAAATGTGCCAAACAATGGCGCGCGCAAGTCTCCAGCACCCGCCAAGCATATGGCCAATCAGGAACAAGCAGCAAAGACACTGACTTGAAAGCCTTCAAAAGTTAGATGGCTCGGTTTGGTTCCGCCAGTGCCCTGCGTGGAAGCAATCTACGTCGACAAAAAGGAAGCGCTTCACGCCTGCTTCAAGATCAACAGGCGGCAATGAAAGGGTATGCGCAACAAGCCATCAAAGAGACTTAGACGACGCGCAATATGTGATCTGCGGCCGGCCAATAAGCTACAAGAGAACGGACCAAAGGCGTAAAAAAGCATCAGTGAAAGAACAAGGAGAAAGCCATAGGAAACCCGCAGACCAGAGAACGAGGAGGGCAAAGGACCAGGAGACCACGGGACCGGACCAGGATGAAAGGACCAGGGACCAGGGGACCAAAGGACCAGCGGAGTAAAGGACCAGAGGAGGACAGGGCCAGGAGAGCAGCAGAAGATGCCTATCCAGGAATGTTTTTTGCTCCTCTTTTTCTCATCTTATTTTATCTTTTGATGCTCTTCTTATTTTTTGATCTAGATGCCCTGGTACAAGACCGCTTAAATAGCCTCTGGAGACGCACATCTCCCTTGCCGCTCTGGTGAGCTCCCCACCTCTTTTCCTATCCTCTCCGCTACGCCTATCCTCCACACGAACTCCCACCCCATATGGGGGCGCCCTTTTGCGTATGGTTAACCGGCGTCTTCACCATTAAAAAAGGGCACCCCCCAGCAACTCCAAGATTTCTTGCAATCCCTCTTTCCCTACCACGTCCTCCTCCGCTACGCCTGTCTTCCACATGAACTCCCACCCCACTTTGCGCCTGGCTACTATGCCGCTCCACCATTAAAAAGGAAACGCCCTCTCCTCCCCTCAACGGGTCACATCATTTCTTGCAGTCCCTTCCCCACAGCAGTCTGTTCCCTCTCCTTCCCTCACAGATCACATCATTTCCACAAGACAACAGTTTGTGAACACCTCCCTGTCACCCCTGGTCGAAGACTTTTTGAATAGCCACCACACACGCATGCACTTCTCCCTTTCCTGGAGACGTTCCAACCACTTTTCGCCACCCCTGGTAGAAGACTCCTTACATTGCTTAGGCTCATGCTTCTTTGCGACCGCCCCCCACACACACACTTATGGATATGCGTACTGACTTGACAGCGGCGCCACACGCCGGCCTAGGGTACCAAATCGTAAGAGTACATTTACGAACCCCTGGATCCTGGAGGTCTTCAAAAGGAAAGGTGACCCAAAGCATAAGTCGAGATCGGAGCGACAGGGTGACGTCGTACGCGCACATCTGCAGAGTGAATGGCGGAAAGCTTAAAAGTTGAAAGGCAGTGGAAAATTGCAGGTACGTGAGAGTGATCAGCTCTCATATCCCGTGCGTCAGGTAGCTTCGTTGGACATGGTCCCTGAACGCACGCCATGTCCCCCTGCTGATGTAAAGGAAAAGCAATTCAAAATAATCCCTGTGACTACAAGGGGCACACACACACACGCCTCCCCGAGGGGAGGCGAGAAGCACTAAGGTCAGGGCAAAAGTGTGAGCGCGCGCGCAGTAAAACAAAAGAATGGAGACATGAAGAGGACAAGACGGGACAAGAGTGTGTGTGGTTGCAATGAAAAGGAACCAAGCGCGCAGGAACAACCGACGACAACCCACCTCATTGTAAAACCTGGGCGACCTGAAACCTGATTTGAAAGTATGGTGCGCATGTACAAACTAAGGGCCGGGCAGTGTGCACGCAAAAGAAGGAAAGAGATAAGATGACAGGACATGAAGCAAGGGAAGACATGAAAGAAAAGAAGAGAAAAGAAGTGTGTAAAGGGGAAAGGATGAAAAGCGAACCAAATGGAGGGGACCGAAACCGATGAAGCCAAACCTCATTAAAACGCCCTAAGAAAACCTGCCTCGTCTGAATGTACACGCTGTATGTGCACCCAAGGTCTCGACAGGTTCCAACGAACCTCAAAAATACTTCGACCGCTGTGGTCACCTTGCGCCTTGCCAAAGTGGCTGGCTGCTTTGACCGCTGCGGTCACGTAAAGGCATGAGCCAATTTGGAGTTCCAAAAATGAGACAAACATCTAAGTTCTTGCGGCGTGAGCCATCTGCTGTCCGCTCCGGACACGTACATCTCCAGGCAGGGGAGATAACGACAGACACCCGTTCGACGGGTCCACGGGAGGCACTCTACGGGCTCATCCCAGACTGTCGCTGGGAGACACACTTATGGATATGCGTACTGACTTGACAGCGGCGCCACACGCCGGCCTAGGGTACCAAATCCTAAGAGTACATGTACGAACTTCTGGATCCCGGAGGTCTTCAAAAGGAAAGGTGGCCCAAAGCGTAAGTCGAGATCGGAGCGACAGGGTGACGTCGTACGTGCACATCTGCAGAGTGAATGACGGAAAGCTTAAAAGTTGAAAGGCAGTGGAAAATTGCAGGTACGTGAGAGTGATCAGCTCTCATATATCCCGTGCGTCAGGTAGCTTCGTTGGACATGGTCCCTGAACGCACGCCATGTCCCCCTCCTAATGTAAAGGAAAAACAATTCAAAAGAATCCCTGCGACTACAAGGGGCACACACGCACTTATGGATATGCGTACTGACTTGACAGCGGTGCCACACGCCAGCCTAGGTTAGTTAAAAGGCCTGAGGCGTCAGGAAATAGTAGGTTAAAGGCCATCGGTTGTGGGTTGGAGGTCAACGCAAGGCTGTTGGGGGCCAAGACCTAAGGTTGGAGGCCGTCGCTAGTAGGCGGTGGACCATACAAAGCGACAGCAAAAGCAAAGTTGGAGGTCATCGCTAGTAGGTTGGAGGCCAGGGTACCAAGTTGGAGGCCAGCGCTACCAGGTTACAAAAGCACAAGAGAAAAAACACAAGACAGTCAAAGTTGGAGGTCCTTGCTAGTGGAGGCCAGGCTACCAAGTTGGAGGCCAGCGCTACAAGGTTACAAGAAGCACAAAAGCACAAGAAGCACAAGACAGCAAATTGGGTGCCAATCTAGTGGGCGGAGGCCAAAGTTCAGGTTAAAGAACCCCTTACAAAGTTTGGAGGCCTACCTGCAAACCTACAGAGTAGCCTAGAGGAAAACAGACGGAAAGGAACCGACACACAAGTGTGTCGAGTACCATTTCCTCCTGTTTTCCTAAATAGCGGAACAGGTACGGAAGTTTGCGTCCAAACTTCCATCCAGTCGATTTCCATAGCTTCATTGGCGTGACTAGGAAATCGACCGTCACGCCCCCTGTTCCAAACCTAAAGGTTCCCTTTGGTTCCAAGGGTTACACACACACGCCTCCCGAAGGGAGGCATGTTCCTGCCCGGAGAGGAGGCAAGGCACATGCGCTCGCAAAAGGGACAGATGAAAATGAAAAGGACGAGGCAGACGAAGGTGTGTGTGGTTGCCGACGAAGAAGAACCAGTGAAGAGGGACAACCGATGAACCAAACCTCATTGTAACGAACTTGGGCCACCTGAACCTCGTTGTAAGTAGAGTACGCGTGCGTGTATGTGTGCAAACTAAGGTCCGGACGATAGTACGCGTAAGAGAAAGAAAGGATGAGGATGAAGAGACATGAAAACTAAAACAGAAAGACGTGAAAGAAAAGAATGAAAAAACGTCTGCGGGGGCCGATGAAAGGGGAACCAAATGAACGGGGACAAACCGATGACAGCCCAAACCTCATTAGAAAAACCTGTTGCAGAAGCCTAGTTTGCTTGTAAACACGCCGCGCGCGAGGAAAGAGGGGGGAGGGGGAGGAAGAAAAGAGAGGGAAAGAAAGAAGGAAACAGAGGTGCTTCCAGCTACGACACATCGTCCAAGGACACGCCAAAAAGGAAGGGCTCCCAGCTATGACGAAAGACAAGAGGGTGAAGAGAGGAAAGAGAGAAGGAAAGAAAGAGAGAGGGAGAGAAAGGGAGAGGAGAGAAAGGAAGGTGTTCCCAGCTACGAACAATCGTCCAGGGACACACCAAAGAAAGAGAGTGGAGATCCTGAGTATTCCATTCAAGAAAACCCCAGAAAGCAAAGAAAGAAAGGGGAAGAGAAGGGGGAGGACGGGGGACTAAGTGCTCGACAGGTTCCAATGAACCTTAAACTTGCTTTGACCGCTATGGTCACCTTGTGCCCTGCCAAAGTGGCTGGCTGCTTTGACCGCTGCGGTCACGTGAAGGCATAAGCCAACTTGGAATTCCAAAATTGAGATAAAAATCTGAGTTCTCTCGGCCTAGGCCACCTTCGCCCGCTGTGGGCACGCGCGTTTCCAAAGCAAGGGAAACAACGACAGACACCCGTTCGACGGGTCCACCGGAGGCACTCTACGAGCTCATCCCGGACTGGCACGAGGCCAGACACACTTATGGATATGCGTACTGACTTGACAGCGGTGCCACACGCCAGCCTAGGTTAGTTAAAAGGCCTGAGGCGTCAGGAAATAGTAGGTTAAAGGCCATCGGTTTTGGGTTGGAGGTCAACGCAAGGCTGTTGGGGGCCAAGACCTAGGTTGGAGGCCATCGCTAGTAGGCGGTGGACCATAGACACAAAGCGACAGCAAAAGCAGGGTACCAAGTTGGAGGCCAACGCTACCAGGTTACAAAAGCACAAGAAAAAACACAAGACAATCAAAGTTGGAGGTCCTTGCTAGTGGGTGGAGGCCAGCGTACCAAGTTGGAGGCCAGTGCTACAAGGTTACAAGAAGCACAAAAGCACAAGAAGCACAAGACAGCAACTTGGGGGCCAATCTAGTGGGCGGAGGCCAAAGTTCAGGTTAAAGAACCCCTTACAAAGTTTGGAGGCCTACCTGCAAACCTATAGAGTAGCCTAGGGGAAAACAGACGGAAAGGAACCGACACACAAGTGTGTCGAGTACCATTTCCTCCTGTTTTCCTAAATAGCGGAACAGGTACGGAAGTTTGCGTCCAAACTTCCATCCAGTCGATTTCCATAGCTTCATTGGCGTGACTAGGAAATCGACCGTCGCGCCCCCTGTTCCAAATCTAAAGGTTCCCTTTGATTCCAAGGGTTACACACACAAACACACACACACCCACACACACACCCTAATTGATACTCACTTCGTTCCCCCATCGACAACTCCAGCCTAGACTATCGGCTGGTTTTCGTGATAAGTTTTTCTATTATCATCTATTCACCAAGCAAGGAACTTGGAAAAGGTCTGTCGGTGCTGGAGTAATAGAAATCTGCGCAGAAAGACAAGACGCCAGCTTCACTTTCGTCCACACAGCTCACTGCTTCTTTGCAGCACTCCGAATGTGCCTGCATCTGACAGGGCAGCTCTTGCAGGCCTGTCGAAGATGTCTGCCTCCGACGCGAACCACGCACAAAGCTTGAGAAGAGAGAGAGAGAGAGAGCAAGAGAGAGAGAGAGAGAGAGAGAGAGAGAGCACGAGCGAGGGTAAGACGCTAAATAGTCCGAAGGATGGTAGATAGACAAATGGAGGGTAGGAGGGACTCATATGATTTCATTTCACAACTGTCACAACACCTTACATCATTGCTCTTGCCTTGAATGTAAAAAAGCAGCGAGCCATTCACAGTTGGAAGATAACACCTTCCTTTGGAGGTTGTCAGCTATTTGGTTCCTTCTTTGTTCCAAGTGTCTCTCCTTCAGGGGGGTTGAAGCTCAAGATTTACCAGCGCCCAGAACAGTGTAAATTCACTCCAACATACTTTCAGTGCCTCTTGCTCTGTCGACAATCTCATAACTGGCTTTGGCTCGTCGACTGTTTCTCAAAGTTCCGATGGCCTGCCGATCAGCCTCCAGGCACTCCTCGGAGGTGGATTGGACATCACACTAGGAGCAAGGACGCTACTAGGGGCTCCTGGCATCGCTAGTAGGAGCAAGGACGCTACTAGGGGCTCCTGGCCATATTGCTAGTAGAAGCTACTACGGGCTCCTGGCATCGCTACTAGGAGCAAGGACGCTACTAGGGGCTCCTGGCCATACTGCTAGTAGAAGCTACTAGGGGCTCCGGGCATCGCTACTAGGAGCAAGGACGCTACTAGGGCTCCTGGCCATACTACTAGTAGAAGCTAGTAGGGGCTCCTGGCGTCGCTACTAGGAGCAAGGACGACTGGGGGCTCCTGGCCATACTACTAGTACAAGCTACTAGGGGCTCCTGGCATCGCTACTAGGAGCAAGGACGCTACTAGGGGCTCCTGGCATCGCTACTAGGAGCAAGGACGCTACTAGGGGCTCCTGGCCATACTGCTAGTAGAAGCTACTACGGGCTCCTGGCATCGCTACTAGGAGCAAGGACGCTACTAGGGGCTCCTGGCCATACTGCTAGTAGAAGCTACTA